TCATTGTGCATTGGGCACATGAACTTGAGATTGAGAGGTTTGGTATCAATCGTACTGCCTGAGGGAAAGGGACTTTACCAGGGGCACAGGCAGGAGGCACTAGTGTGCCTTTTGGTGCAGGGTATTTCGCTGGTCAGCAGGGCTCTTCAAGGTCATTCCCTGAATCCACTTTCAGACTGAAATATGAAGGAAGTTTCCTTTAGGGAAATTGGACGCACGCACACACACACACACATGCACACACACACATATCCAGGCTCAAAGTTAAAGTACTAATTAACAAATCTATTTTTCTTTTTTGACCAGAAGCTGATGATCTGGGGTGTGTATGTGATCAGTATTAGATAACTAATTTTGTACTTGGTTCATGGGGATTGGTATGAAACATATTTAAGTTCCCTGAACACTGTGAATCCTTGTATTAGTTACATAGCATTACCGGCTATAACATAAACCCCCAAGTCTCAGTGACTTAACACAAGAGAAGTTTATTTCTTACTGACATTGAGTCTTCTCAGAGGGAGCAGGTGTGTGAGTATATAGGGGTCCTCTGGTCATTCAGGGATACAGGCTGATGGATGCTCTGCCATCTTCTATACATGGCTTCTAAGATTGACTTAAGCATCAACACTCAGCCAGGGAAGAGAGTATGATTCACCAGTGGGAGAGTTTCATGATCCAGACCTAGAAGTAGCGTACATCATTTCTGATAACCTTCCATTGCTAGAACTCAGTCACGTAATCAGACCTTTCTACAGGTGAGGCTGGGAAAAGTAGACTAGATGTCCCCAGGAAGGATAGAGAAAGGGCTTTGGTGAACACATAACAATCACTGTCACAGTCCAAATGTCTAAGAACAAATACAATTTCATCTTTCTCCTTCACGTAGAACCACTTCCTCTCTCCAAAGATCTCGTGTATTGCTGAGGCCAGTTCCGGGACCCTGATTTCAAGATGATAGAGTTCTCCTCATCATTCCAGACATGGCTTCTCATGGGCTGGCAACCCATGAACTAAAAGACAAGTTATCTTTCTTGTCACTCTCCACTCAGTATTCTATGATGAAGTAGGGACACTTCCACACAGTAACAATATTCACAATAACACTTCCATTCATAGAAAGGAACAGTAGGAGAAACAGCTCACTGGATTAAGCAATGATCAAACCCCACTGGGCAAGCTTTATGAAATCCTTCTTTCTTAGCAGTAGAGGAAGTTTTTAAATTGGATGCTGATTCTTCTTTCTGGAGGAACATTCTTTCCTTGTCCATTGTTCTCTGTAGTTCCTGGCTCCATCATCTAGAAGGTTCTTCCATATCCATCATCCTCCACAGCCACGTTTGAAGTAGGTGTTGGAGAGTCGCCCTCCTTGGGGTTGTATAGGTTTTGTAGCCTACTTCCTGCTTGTCACGTTTGGGAGCCCAAAGGTTGTTTGAACAATCAAAGACAATTTTAGTCTGGCCTCTTGAAAAAACTTTCATTCAGTTCCTGGTGTCTATAAACACATCTAATGTTCCTTTCCTAAACATGATTATCAGTTCTGATAGATTTTTTTTGCTTCCTCACAACTTAATGATTCTACCATGACACTATCTTAGATAAAAGACCTGGGTGGGAATCCCACACCCTAAATCTGTCTTTGCCTCAGGACTTAATCTTAATGGATATTGTTCCTCAAATCCATCTTTTTCTTTTTTTTATGGGGAAGATTGGCCCAGAGCTAACATCTGTGCCCATCTTCCTCTACTTTGTATATGGGATGCTGCCACAGCATGGCTTGATGAGCGGTGTGTAGGTCCATGCCTGGGATCTGAACTCCAGGGCGCCGAAGTGGAATGCACAAACTTAACCACCATGCCACTGGGCCAGCCCCTCAAATCCATCTTATCGCTTACTACTTGGGATCCAGAGGCAACAGGCTTTTATGTATCATTAAGGCTCCAAATTCCTGAACTTTTTCCATTCCCTTTCATGTCCATTTGCAAACAAGCCATCTCTTTAATAACTGGGAAGTAAAAGCCAACTTTATTAACATTCAGACTCTTTGCAAACCTTTTTCCTTAGAGCATGAGTTGGCAAACCTTTTCTGTAAAGGTCTAGATGGTAAATATTTTAGACTTTGTGGGCCATCCAGTCTTTGTCACAGCTACTGACTACTGCTGTTGTAGTGCAAGAACAGCCAGGACAATATGTAGACAGATGGATGTGGCTGTGTTCCAATAAACTTCATTTTAAAAAAGAGGACCAGGTTTGGCCTACGGCCATAATTTGCTAGCCCCTGCTTTAATGCTAAAGACTCAGTGGGCATGCGGTTGGCCTTCATGTTTTCACAGGTGAAAGTTTTGCTCTGATTATCACTTTTATTCTGTTGCACAACCACTAAGCCAATGCCCCATTTGCTAAGTTTTTTGTTAATGCTGCCCTCCACTTCCAGTATCAATTCATGTATTAATTAAAATAATGCATTTTCCCCCTAACAGATAAACCCACAAACGTCAGCACCTGACCCGGGAGAAGTTTTCTTCGTTGATGTGATGTCCATCCAGTTTGCTGTAAAGGGTTGTTGGTGTTGGGGCACACTACTCCTTGTGGGTGAGCATTCAGGGGTCCAGGCTGACAGTAGCTCTGTTGGCATCAACACGAAGCTTTCAGGGTCACCGGGTGTTGACATTCAGCTCATAAAGGAAGAGAACGGAAATCACTTATGAGAGGGTTTTATGGACCAGGTATGGAAATATCTCATAGGACTTCTGCTCACATTCCGTTGGCTGGAACATGGGTATACCTGACTGAGGAAAGCTGGGAAATGTGGTCCAGCTTTAAAGCCAGAAAGAAGTAGCACAAATCTTGGTGAGGACACTGAATTCTCTGCCTTAGTCCCTAAGCGAATGTTAATGACGGAGGCTTTGCACACTAGCTGTGTGACTTTTGCCTCAGGGCCCATTTCACATTTCTCATAATAGGCATAAAATCAGAATGAAATATACAAAGTATATAAAGGTGCCATGTTAGTTGTCAGCTAGCAAGCACTTTACATGTCTACAAGAATATAATAAACACCTGGATAGCCCTTTCCCAGATTTATGTATATTAACGTTATACCACATTTGTGACTCAGATTTCTTTTAAGATATAAAACATTATGTTGTTTGAGGGTCCCTAAGTTTTTCCCTCCAATTCCGTTTCTCTTTCTGTTTAGTCACTATCATGAACTCAGTGTTTATTAATCTTATGCACTGGCATCACTTAGAATTCAGTGCCACTCGCTTTACTGACCAGTTTACAATCATAGTCAGCCAAATCTCTTGTGAGATGAAAGGCATGGCTTTCTTGTTAAACCATTCCAGGAACGGGAGGCACAAAATCCTCCCTCAAGCCTCATAGCTAGTCTCCAGGCTAGCTCCTCTTGGGAGCCAACAGCAGCCTCTTGGGGGTGGGAAGAGGGAGATATGAAGGTAGAGAGGTAATCACAGGTTAGACCATGATGGGCCTCATGTGTTAGCTAAGGATTCGGATTTTATTCTGAAAATGATGGGGAATCCCATTTATTATTAGGCATGGTCAAAGCTGTGGTTTAGAAGGATAATTCTTGTCGCTATGTGAGGACTGCCCAGAGCTAGGACAGACCCTTGCCATAGTGCTGGGGAGGGACAATATGGGCTTCCACTAAAATGGCGGCCCATGGAGCTGGGACTGTTCTTGGTGTGGACCTGGAGGGCTCACAAGTTCTTTCTTGCTGCTTCAGAAAGGATTGCACTCCACTGGTGTCTCCAGCAGAAGCTGCTGCTGCTTCCTGGCATTTTGACCTTGACATTTTTAGCCACGTGGTTAAAGGTCTCTCTCCGTCAGGACTGTAGCTCTTCTGCTGGACTCCCAAGCACCTTACATGCATTATCTCTTTTAATCTTCACAGCAACCCTGAGGGGTAGTTACCATTTTTCTTGCATTTATAAGGTGAGGAAAGTGAGGCCCAAAGTTGCTGAATAGCCTACGTAAGTAATTTCTTACTAGAAAGTAATTTCTTACCAGAAAGAGCCTGAGCTGGTTGTTTTTAACTGAAGTCTGACTTACGGTCTTGCTGCGTTGTCTGTCTCAAAGCATAACAGCTAATATTTACTGAGGAATTGCTATGTCCCAGGCAATGTTCTAAGCCCTTCATGTTCATTATTCCATTTAATCATCAATACAACCCTGTGAGGCAGATAATATTATCATCCTCATTTTATAGTTGAGGAAACTGAGGTCCAGAAAATTTAAGAAACTTGTTCAGGATGACACATCTGGTCAAGATGATTAAGACAACCTGACACTGGAGCCATTACCCTGTACCACCTCTCATGGGAAGGCAATTATTTGATTTCCAAAAGTATAGGGAGAAGGAAAAGGCTATGTTATAATTTAAGGCATCTTATTACAGTTTGTTAATATAGCCCTAATTTCAATGTGTCAAAATATTGTAGAGAATGTAGCTATAAGCCACACTCAACACCAGATTTGAATGGATGCCGCTGATTATCAGTACCTTCTTTGCATCAATCCTTGCCAAAAGGACTTCTTAGTATGGCAAAGTCATCAGAGGAGAGCTGGGCTAAGAGCTAGGAAGCCAGAGTTCTAATCCTCGTCCTGCCGTGGACAGTCTTTGTGTTCTTGCCTGGGTCACTTAAGATGCTTGGGCTCCAGTTTTTTCATCTCAAAAGTTCAAGAAATGGACTAGAGAATCTCCAGTGTCCTCACCCACTCTGTGATCCTCTCTTTGCCTTTTTGTCACCTCTACATCAGAAAATGACTTCTTGGGGGCTGGGCTGGTAAGTTCGTGTGCTCTGCTTCTGCGGCCCGGGGTTTGCACGTTCAGATCCTGGGCACGGACCTACATGCTGCTCATAAAGCCATGCTGTGGTTGTGTGCCACATACAAAAAGAGGAAGATTGGCACGGATGTTAGCTCAGGGACAATCTTCCTCAAAAAAAAAGACTTCAAAAAGTGACAGAAAATTTAAATAAAGAAATGCAAGCAAGTTATTTTTAATATTTCCAAAGGTGAGGACAGGTAATATTTACAGATACACTAGGAATTATATTTTAAGATTCTTTTTACAAATATTGTAAACATACACACATAAATCATCTGCTTGTACGTGAAAAAATTCATTCTGGTGGCTAGCATCTTTATTAAAAAAATAAGATTTAAATAAATTAGTTAAACAGTATGAGTGTGAAACAAGTGCATAACTAAAAAAGGTAACATCTTTAAAAGAAATCAACTCATGAAATAGTTTCAATACGTACCCTCTTGAAAGAAATCATAGATTTTGGAGAACATGGATAGACAAAAGAGAAGACTGATATAGAGAGGATTCTAGAAAACACCAGGTTTGTTTTTTTTCTCTCATGGCTAATTCTTTCTAAAAGAGCTATTTCTTTACACAAACGTATTTGTAGATAAGGTAAATGTACTTATTAAGTTGCCGAAATTGCTTTCAAACCTACTTTCAAATCAACCTCTCTCTGAAGGAGTGGATACCAGCTTGGAGCGCAGGGCAATATAGTTTTTCCTACTTCCCAAAGGGAGTTTTTGTAGGAGACTGACAGCAGTTGTTCAATTTATTTAATGATGGAATAGATGTGGGCTAATTTCCACAGGCCCAGATTTATATTTCTTGCTTTTACCCTTAACTAAAGGGCTTGATGATAATAGCTTGGAAATCCTAACCCCCATCTGCATTGAGCATTCGGAGACCTGCATCCTGCCTCAGTACCACAGGCCAGAGGAGGAGAGGTGAGACGGGCCTGATGCCTCCACTTGATGGACTGCCTGGCCTTGCTGAGGGCAGCCTCCTCAGCCAGCCACAAACGTCCTCTCTCAGTGTTTTTCTACCCCTGCCTTTCAATCTTACTTTCCTTAAGGAAGCCACTGCTGAGTTTCTTACTCAGTCCCAGGCACGGTGCTAGGCACTGAGGCTACACTCATGAAGACGCTGGCCCTGCTCTTGAGAGCTCAAGAGTCTAGCAGAAGAATGCTGCAGCTAGTACTTTCCCTCACTCCCCTCTCATTTCCTCCCTCTGATCCGAGGTACCCCCATCACTAAGAGGAGGGGATTGCCTGAGAGGATTTCTAAGATTATTAAGCAGGAAAGCACTCATGAGTCTGTAAGTTAAGTAAGACTGAATAACACTTGTGGAACCAGAGCTAGGATACAGGGTGGAGTGGTGGCAGGCTCCCGGCCCCAGCACTCGGTTCCTGGAGCTCCCCCTCTGACAGGAGAGCAGAGACCAGTGGGCTCTCCCACAGCGGTCTGCAGCCTGAGCACAGGGACACACAGACTGTCTGGATTTCTTGGTCCTTGAGGACAAGGGTAGGCAGCCCACAGTGTCCACTGCTCTCTACTCCTTTATGTCACTGAAGGAGCAGTAGCTGGGCCCCAGACCCCACACGGTGCAGTCAGTGCTGTCGCTGTCACACCTGCCACAGTGACATTCGGTGGCTACCGGGTATGTATACAGGGAGTCTGCGTGGTGAGCACAGCCGGGCACTTTCACTGTCTCGTACACCAGCTCCTTGAAGGTACATGTTTTCTGGATGTTGGGTCTGGCTGGGTCCTTGTACACGAGGTCCTGAGGAGTTTAGGAAGGAGAGTGTTAGGTTACGATGTTCTGGAAGTTTCTGTTTGGCTTAATAAAAATGAGACAGGGATTTAATTCTGCTATTGTGACATTTACCCATGAAAGCTTACTTATGGAATTCCTAACCAAGGAAACATGATCTCATAAACGACCTATATGCTATACTGCGTTTCCTTGTTCTGGAAATCTTACAGAAAATAGAAGTCATTCCTTTTCCTACTCCTTATATGTATACCAGAATATTAATTATTTTTCAAACTGTAGAGAAACTTTGAATTTCAATACAGAAAAATGATGAAAAGGGAAATATGACAGAAATTTTAAGTTGACTTTTTATACTTAGTCAAAAGCTGTATTAATGACACCTTGAACCACAAAACACTGAAGTTTAATATCCCAGAAAATGTTTCCAAATACATTGTCCTTGTGTGTTTATAAAAAGTCAGAAAAAGACGTAATATGAAATTTTAATGCTTAGCTTAACATGACTATGAAGGATCACATAAGATTTTGAATATTTCACTGTCTTGTAGACATTTTCCCCCCTTAAATGCTATATATTTTGCAGGGCTCTCAGTTTCAAAGGATACACGGTTTGCATATAAGAACTTTCAATCCAGGTGAAACAGGTTTGTTCCAACACTTTCTAGTAAAAAAATTATTTGCACTAAGGGAAGAAATTGGTGCTGCTGTATAATTTATTTCAGTATTGTGCTACGAAGTCTGTATCCCAAGAAGGTGCAATAAATTGTGCAGTAAGTGGAGTTTGATCAAATTCATTTACCACCCAGTAAAGTCTATTTCATTAAAAAGTTGCTATTTTTAATTTCAGTTTATGGAATGAAATTCTATGTAGATAACCAGGTGTTATGGGGAAAAAAGTAAAGAAAACAAAGTAGAAACTGCCTCTTGGATTAATGCAAAGAAGCCGTGTGCATACAGACCGGCGGTTTCACGCCTCTGTGCCTTGGCTTTCTCAGTGGTGTAAAGAAGTGAGTGGCTTTGCTGGTCATTTTTGTTCTAACGGTCGGAAAGGATTGACTGTGTTCTCAGGCCACTTGCTGTCATTTGTATTCCGGCGGGCCAATAAGACAATTTTTATAATGTGGCCATTTGTGTTTTTATGTGGCTTGGAAACATATTCTGGTACTATCTCTGTTGCAACATATGGATTCAATTACAGAAATTGGCTTTTTGGAAAAATTATAGATCTTCTATTATTAAATATATGTATGTTTACATGTTTATCTCTGTATGTAAAATCTAGCAAAGAACTACTTTTTTTTTTTTTTTGAAACGCAGAGTTGGCATATTACCAAATTGATCAGATCAAGTCTGCGACTTCCCTAAATTTGCCTTAATCAAATCCAAGCCCAAACATCTAACTGCTATCATGGTAATCAACCCCAATCACAACACAGACACTGTAGGCTAAGGGACTCAGTGCTGTTATTCAGGAGAGACAAAATGTTGGTGAAGTAGGAATGAATGCCAGTTGCCTCGTACAGACTCGCAGCACCTCACTTCCAGCAAAGCGAAGCTCCTACCCGGGTGTAGCAGTAGCCCGCACACCAAGTGGTGTTGATGCTCATGCAGAAGCCGCATTCCTCTTTCTCCACGGCGATGGTGATGTTGGTCAGCGCACAGCTGTTGCAGCAGATGGCTTTCCAGCAACAGAAAAGGAAGCAAAACTGGACTGGCTTCATCCTGGGCTGGGAAGCAAACAGGTAAGGCCCATGAGAAACCGAAAAACCAAAGAATCATGATCATTGTGTAAACTGACCAAACCAAAAATAATTGTCTACCCATCCTCCCCAGTCACATTTTGCTCCAGCAATTTTTTCTTTCCTTTTTCTTTTCTTTACTTCTTTTCTTGTTCCTTGAACAAAGATTTCTTCTTATCCTCTTCCTCCTTCATTTTTTTGTCAAAGTAAAAAAATATTATAGGCCCAAACTCCAATATAATGATTTAAGCAGTATTTAAAGAGTAATTACTGCTGTCTTAAAGTGATTTCTCTAAAGCAAGTAATTCTGATCATCATATTTGTCCCTTCATTGTCATTTTTAAAGATTAATTTTGTTTAAAAAGAAAATTCTGTTGTGCAAAATTAGTTCACCATTTTTAGCATCTCATAAATATTATCATTTACTTTTGCTTACATTTGTTTAAAATAGGACTATTTCAGAAGCCAGGTGAATTGGTCTATATAAAGTCAATTGCTTGCTAAGAGTGATTATAGTGTATTAACCATATTTAAGAAGCCAGATTGACAAGCATAAATTCCCTACATAACAGTGGTTGAAAAGTTCTAGATTTGCTCTTCAGATCCTGAAAAATCTGTAATTTCAAAAATAATTATCACCACTTGATAACTGTAGATGCCGAGACTCACCTGTGGTCTGCTGTGTTGTCTGGGGAAAAGCTGTAGCCTGAGTCGTGTCAGTTCACCTTTTATACAAGATCGTGTGCAGCTGACTAACACCTTGTGGATTTGTTGGGGATTAAGGAGATGAGTGTTAGTCTTAGCTTGCTGTAAGTGGATCCGTGTTTAGACAGACGGGGAGATCAAGTCTTACTAACGTAGTCTAAACGCAGCAGATCAGGAAAAATAATGTTACCAGGTGTGATGATTTTGTACAAATTAAATTTGATATGGTAACACACCCACTCCTTTACCTTGTCAAATTAAATGTGATGCTAGGTTTTTCTTTTGTATCTTCAACACGGGGAATTCAGAATCCTTTCTGAATATTGCTTTGGCCCTGTTGAGGAGATGCATCAAAAAGATATGGTTAATAAGTTGCTTCAAGAGCAGATTGAAAGCTGTAAGGGAAGAAGCAAACAAATAGAAAGTCTTTCATGATCTGGCTCCTATCTAGTGTGTAAACCATATTTCTCTTTACCTCCCACGTCTAGATCCCCTAATCTCAAATGTTATTCTTTGATGCTTTACTTGTAATTCTCTAAATGTTCTGCTGATTCATTTCTCCAGATCTTTGCATGGGCAATGTTCATCCTGCCTGAAATATCCTTGCTTCCTCTCTGTGTCCCCCAACACCATTCCCACACCTGGCAAATTTCTCAACCTTCAACACTCACCTGCCAGAATTTAGGATGGGAGATGGAGGAGAGCTTTAATCACCACCTTCTGTTTGTAATCGTTCATGTACCTCTGTTTCTCCCAGTAGACTGTGAGCTCCTTGGAGACTGGGGTTGATTTAACAAATATTTATTAACTAAGCAGTGTGGCTGGAGCAAAGGAAAAGTGGTGGAAGTATTAGGATGTGCTGTCAGAGATGTAAGAGGAGTCAAATCATGGAGGACCTTTTAGGCCAACGTAGGGACTGGTTTTCACTCAATGTAAGGTGGGATGGATTGCAGGATTTTGAGTAGAGGAATGACATGATCTGATTCAAGTCTAAGAGGATCCCTCTGGCTGCCGTGTTGCTGATGTAGAGGAACAAGGTAGAAACAGGAAGACCTATTAGATGCTATTGCAGCAACTCAGGTGAGATTTGGTATTTGTTCAGACTAGTGGTAGCAATGGAGGTAGTGAGACATGATCTGATTCTGGATGTATTTTGAAAGTAGAGCCAACAGGATTTTCTGATAGATGGTTGCTGAGTGTGAGAAAAGAAAAAAAGTCAAGGATGATTCTAAAGATTCTGGTTTGAGTAACATGAAAGATAAACTTGCTATCAACTGAAACGGGATGGCTGTAGATATAGTAAGTTGTGAGGAAAGAAAAGGAGTTTAGTATGGACATGTTGAGCTAGAGTTGTCTATAAGATATCTAAGTAGAATGCTGAATCTGGACTTCTGGAGAAACATCTTGGCTGAAGATATAAATTTGGGAGTCAGTGACATGAGCCTAGAAGAGATTACCTACGAAGTGGGTATAGACAGAGAAGATAAAAGGACCAAGAGTTGAGTCTGGGGTACTCCAACATTAAGAGGTCAAGGGTAAGATGAGGTTTTCTTCTTCCTCTTTCCAAAGGAACTGAGAAGGACCACTGGGGAAAGAAGGGAATGGAGAGAATGTGGTGTCCCACAAGCCAAGTAAAGAGAGTGTCAAGGAGGAGTGAGTGACAGCTGTGCCAAATGCTGCTGACAGGTTATGTAAGATGAGGACCAGGAGCATGTGGCAATGTGAAGGTCACTAGTGTCCTTGGCTAGAGAAGTTCCTTTGGAGTGAGAGGAACAGAACCTGATTGGTGTGTGTTTAAGTGTTTGGGAACAGATGAATTAAAAAAAAAAGTTGAATATAGACAACTTTTCCCAGGAGTTTTGATACAAAGATGAGCAAAGAAATAGGTGATTGAGTAAAGTAGAAGTGTAGTAAAGATAATTTTCTTTTAATTTTTATGTTTCAAGATGGGAGAAATAACTGCATGTTAGTATGGTGATGCAAGTAATTGAGTAGAGAGTGAAAAATGATGATGTTTGGAAGAAGAGAAGAGAATTTCTGGAGTGTTCCTGAGTAGGTGAGAAGAGATGGGTTTTAGAGCACAAGTGGAGGGATGGGCTTTAGACAGGAGGATGGAGAGCTTGCCCTGTTATCAGGCAGGAGGCAGAGCTTGTGGGCACAGATGCTGGTGGATGGCGAGATGTGATGGGTGTAGATGATGGTGATTGGATAGGGGTGGTGAGTGCAGAAGATGGTGGGTGGGGAGGTATGGTGGTTGTAGATGATGGTGGGTGGATAGTTGTGAGTGCAGAAGATGGTGGGTGGGTAGATGTGGTGGTTGTAGAAGATGGTGGGTGGGGAGGTGTGGTGAGTGCAGAAGATGGTGGGTGAGTAGGTGTGGTGGTTGTAG